CCTGCTCATGCCATATGCCAGGAATGCAGCCTCCTGGCAGCCCTGATGGGGCTGCACTGTGTGGGATGGTATTGTGTCTACCATGCCACTGTGCCAAGATGCTGGTCAGGGCATCACTTTTATTGCTACCCTGGGATACTTCAGTTTGGCTACAGTCTGTTGTCTTGGCTGGTTCCAGTCAGTGTGGGTGCAAAAGTGGTTTGAGGGTGCCCCTGCACTGTTGGCTTCTGGCTGTACTGAATTCTTCTGACCAACTGAAAAAGGTCAGAAGTGAGAAGGGTACACAATTGAATCATTGCTATAGGAATGTGTACCTGGTTATGGCTGGGCACTGTCAAGAATTAGACTTTTGGTTAATATCTTTGCCTTTGGTCACAGAAATATTTATCAAAATAACTTCATCTTGATAAGTTTATGATAAATGAAAGCTATATTATTATGTCAGGAGCCATGTTGTGATGTTATTCGTTTGACCACTGAAGAAACGTGTCTGGTCAGGATCAATATTTGTTACTTATATATCTCATTGTACATTAGCAATGATAATTGAGGCTATTGTGAGGGCTAATTCCTGTTTTTAATCCACTGTGAAATAAACACATGCATATTTTTGTATAATTGTTAATATTTATTAATTTTTAATATGACCAGCAGCATTATTGGGCCTGTACATTTATATTTCCTTAACCTTCAGATACTTAGTCCAATTTGGTTTGGGTTAAGTTTATTTTCCTCTCTTTTTTGTTTTCACCTTGAGGGCATGACACTTGGTTGGGAGGGTGTTATTGGTCAGTACAATGGTAACTTATGTCCTAAGCCATGGGTTTCAGTGGCATATCATCTTGACATTGATCGTGCAAACTTTGCTTCTGCCCCACCTCAGGAATGTCCCTTCCTGTGCTAGTGTGGCAGGCATGTGATGACAGGCCATTACAAAATAAGTTTGAACTTCTGCAGTAAAAAAAATAATCCTAAAACAAATAATGTTCTCTGCACAAGGACTAAGTATTTAACATTTGATACTTGTCACTTTCAGTAGATTCAAAAATATTGTGGTGCTTTGGGCATCCTGACAACTTTTCCATTAGCTTTTCTCATAAAATTTGATTAAGGTCCTAGGCAAGCATTAAGCAATTAAGAAAAGTGCTTTGGGAATTTGTATGCTGTCCTCAGCTTTCCATGTTCTGAAAAACATCAAAAATAATTTTGTGAAAAGCTATACAAGTGTTGTGCTTTCAAATTTTCGGTGTGAGCTAATTATTTCATTTTTTTAGATAGCTTACTTGTGAAAACCAAATTGGTGTTGCAAAGTATGCTATTCAGTTTCAATGGTTAATGAATAATGATTTCATTAATGCAGCAATTAGTGTAATTGCATGTTCTCTCCTAAGAGCCATGTAGCTTCATTTGCTGTACTGTGCTGATTGATTTTCCTATACCACGTTCCTGTGTGAGATTAGTCTAGTGATGTAGTGATTAGACTATTGAAATAGAACCTGGGAGAACCCTCAAATTGCTACTCAGCTATGAAGCTTATTTGGTGTCTTTTTCTTTCTTTCTTTCTTTCTTTCTTTCTTTCTTTCTTTCTTTCTTTCTTTCTTTCTTTCTTTCTTTCTTTCTTTCTTTCTTTCTTTCTTTGATTTATTATGTTATAAATTTTAGTAGATTACAACCAACCTTATCACATGCAGATGAACATGTAAAATTTACCATTGGACTAGTATGTTCATAGAATCATAGAAACACTGAGTTGGGAGGAGCCATACAGGCCATCTAGTCCAACCTCCTGCTCAGTGCAGGATCAGCCTAGAGCATCCCTGACAAGTGTTTGTCCAGAAACTGTTTAAAGACTGCCAGTGAGGGGGAGTTCACCATGTTCCTAGGTAGCTGATTCCACCATTGAACAACTCTTACTGTAAATAAGTTTTTCCTAATATCCAGCTGGTATCTTCCTGCCCTTAATTTAAACCCATTATTGCAAGTCCTATCCTTCGCTGCCAACAAGAACAGCTTCCTGCCGTCCTCTAAAGGACAGCTCTTCAAATACTTAAAGAGAGCAATCATGTCCCCCCTCAACCTCCTCTTCTCCAGACTGAACATTCCCAAGTCCTTCAGCCTTTGCTCATAGGGCTTGGTCTCCAGGCCCCTGATCATTCTCGTCACTCTCCTCTGCACCTGCTCCATTCTTTCCACATCCTTTTTGAAGTGAGGCCTCCAGAACTGCCTGACCAATACAGTGTACAGCAGGACTATGACATCTTGCGATGTGGATGTTATGCCTCTGTTGATACACCCCAAGATCGCATTAGCCTTTTTTGTCACTGCATCACACTGGCTGCTCATATTTAACTTATTGTTCACCTGTACCCCAAGATCTTGTTCACATACACTACTACCCAGAAATGTAACCCCATCCAGTATATGTGTTCCTCATTTTTGTTACATAGATGTAGAGCTCAGCATTTACCCTTGTTAAATTGCATCTTGTTCACATCCACCCACTCGTTCCAGTTTGGGATGCTTGCCACTGCTTACCTGACAGTGTGTGGGTGCCCCTGTGAGCTGAGCCTCCGAAGGTGGGGTACCTGTTAGGGTTCTGAAATGGGAGAGGTCAGCCACAGGGTACAGACTTTGCTGTTCTCTTTAGGTGTCAGTGCCATGGGCTTTCCCTGAAGTGCTAAAGTGCAATCCATGGGTGCTTATGGACTATGCCATGTTTTTTGTTGGTGTAACTTTCTGCCTCTGGAAGAGGGCGTTCCCAGGGTAAAAGAGGTCAGGGAGCTGATTAATTCTGGCCATGCCCTCAAACCCACCCACAACTACTCTGGCACGGGCCCACCACACCCCACCACCGGCACCTGTGAACAACGGGGTGCTGCAGCACCCCTGTGCTGTCTTAAGTGCCAGTTACATCGACGTAACTGAGACGCTGACGTACGGGTAAGTTGGCTCCCAGAGCGCTTTCACACCCCCCCAAGGATTGCGCTGCCAAACTGCTAAGCATACTGCATGGAACTTTTCCTACATGATTATATCTCTAATATACTAAATATAAAAGTAGTAATCTCCTGTTCTGTTGAAATGAAAATATTAGAAATGCAAGTTCTCCCAACACTTACAACCTATGTCTTCAAATTATTCCTAATGTAACAGCACACATGGGAGTTACCGTACACATGAACTGGGCTTGTGTGAAGATTGTATATTCTAGATATAATAAAAATGGATAATCTTCCACAACTCACCCCTAAATCTGTGTCCAAAGTTTGACATCTTATTTTAGTTTTATAAGGAAAAGCTGCACTCAACACTCAAAATGGCTCATAATTCAGCATGCCTCAACATCAGTAATATTGGCACAATGGTTTAGATCCCACCAGTGCAATCTGCTGGTACTGGCATTTTGCTTGTGCCAAGACACATCCACCAGTGCCTACTCCATTGATGGAAGAACCTCTTGCATCAGTGGAAGGCTCCTAGTGACAGAAAAAATGTATTAGAATGGAGTGGTAGAAGCTAACCATGAAGTATCAAGAGAAGAATGCATTAAATTGTGTACATGCATGGTTCTTTGATTTGTTTGGAGTGCTGTGGTCATTAACAGGTAAAATAGCTTGTCTTTATTTTAAAAGTGCGTCATTGAAAGTCTTGAACAATTAACATATTGTGGATACTTATTTTCTCAGGGCATTTTACCTGGACAAGTCAAATCTTCCACCTAATTCAACATCAAAAGCTGCTTACATAGATAAGGTAAGCCAAACTGTTTTATAATGAAACTATACTCTCAAGATCTGGATCATCTTTGCCTTGAGCAATATTTTAATACATGCTGCCCACAAGAAAGCATTTATGCTTCATAGGAGGCAGTAGGTTAAAGGGCTGGATTAATCATGTAAAAAATTGACTATTCTAGGACCATAAGTGCTGTAGTTTTGGAGGGCAGAAAGTATTATTATCTTCCAGTTTGTGTTTCAGAGGGTCAGGGATTTATGGATGTGGTACCGCTGCTGCCATTTTTTCCCTTATGGCTAACTTTAAACAAGGATGCAAATACATATACATATACTTACTGGAAAAATGTGTGTTCTACATATTTCCATATCAGAAATGTATGTGTTGATACTGGAAATCTGCATGTTGCATCTTTAAGACAAAATGATGACTGCACATACTGTGAAATTTATGTAGTGCATTCTCCTTGAACGTACAATCAAATATATTGCTAATTGTATGAACTGAAGTTTCTGAACCATTTTCAGATGTGGAGCATATTTTATCATGGCCCCGTCTGCAGATACTTAAATCCATACACTGGAGCCATGAAGCCCCATGTTTGCAGAAATGTAAAGAAACAAACAACCCCCCCCCCAATAGCAGAAACAGCACCTGTACCTTTAAGCCTCCCTGAGCCTGCTTCGGCGGGGAGGGTGGGATATAAGTTAAATAAATACGATGTGGATGCACTTTGAAATCTCAGTAGTCACTGTGGGAGTGCTAGGCAACCACAACAGTATTCCCAGCCTTCAAACCTTGGTTTCCATCAATAAAAAGCAGGGGGAAGGGGCAAGGCACTTTCTAGGGCTATTTTAGCCATCCCATCCATCCCTGCTCCCCTTCCTCCTGCTCTGGAGGGAATAGTCATTGGGACCAGGCCCAGCAGCAGCTGCTGGGCAACTTGCTACTGTGCAATTTGTGCAACTCACATATGTGTAGCTACCAGACAATTTTATGCCACCCAATTCACCTGGGCTTGGCAGTAGCCACCACAAGACTCACCTGAGTAAACTGCAACTGTACAACTTCTGTAACTGGGCTAGAATTTCCCCAGGAAGAGGCTGCCAGGGGAAGGGAAGGGAAGGGAAGGAGGGAAAGCTGGGAGCCAGTCTAATGTAGTGGTTAGCATGACAAACTAGGATCTGGGAAACCTAGGTTTAGGTCCTTACTCTGTCATGGAAACTCTGTCATGGAAGTCTTAGGCCAGTCACCATCTCTTAGGGTTCTTGAAAGGATAAAATGGGGGAGAGGAGAATAACGTAAGCAGTTTTGAGACCACTGGAGGAAAAGGTAGGGTATAAACGAAGGTTATAAGTAAAGCTGAAGACTGAGAGGGCAGATAAGAGACAGCTGGGTTGGTAAGTGGGAAGTAAAAAAGAAAGCAGAAAAAAGGAGAGGACTGCCAGGAGAGAAAAAAGAAATAGTGAGAGGATGGGGATATGAGGTGAAGTGAAGTGACTTCTGCAAGTGTGTGCAGGTTCCATGTTTTTAGTAATCTAATATGAATGCTCTCACTCTGCAAGGTAAAGTGTCTTAGTAACGAGCTTTGTCCCTTATTTTCAGCTGATGCGGCCCATCAATTCATTAGATGAACTTTACCGACTAATGGTGTCTTTCATAAGATCAAAGCGCACTGCAAGCTGTGCCAACACAGCCTGCAGCGCCTCTGGAGTTGGACTGCTGTCCGTCGCTTCAGAACTCTGCAGCAGACTCGGAGCTTGCCACATCATCTTGTGCAATAGTGGAGTTCACCGGTATGATAACTTAGCCATTTTCTTAATTGCAATTTATTGCTATCTATGTACTGTTAGTGACATGGGACCCCCATCTCCTGATATCTCCATTCACAGACCGGAGCCACATGGACACTAAAGAGATTTTTCTGCACACTTGTGGGACCCCCTAGGTTTGTAGAAAAAACGTAAACCTTAAAAAAAAAAACCCATGGGGGTTTAAATTCCCCCCAAAGTAAAACAGTGTTCTCTGCACAAGTGCAGCAGTTGGAGGAGGCAGGGGGGCCACACTGGGTCCAGCAGCAGCAGTGTACCCAAGGCTCTGTGCTGGGCCCAGTGGCATCAGTGGTGCAACCTGGGAGCTGCACTGGGCCTGGCAATGCAGCCCAGGGAGAGCACTTGGGCTGCGCCAGGCCTGGCAGTGGCTGCTGAACAACCCAGGGCTCCATGCTGGGCCTGGGGGTGGTTGCCACCCAGGGGCCATGCTGGGCTTGGGGTGGGGGGAGATGGGATTCCCCACCATGAGTCTCATGGTCCCCCACTTCTCCAGTTCTAATAATAATTTATTCAGTATTTAGCTGTATTTACTATTAATTTCTATGTATAATAAAAGGCCTTCCCCAAAGTGGGAGAGGGCTCACTCCCAGGTAGCAGAGCTAGTAAGGCTGCTGATGAATCTTGGCTTTCCCAGGCATAAACAGGAAACTTGCAATACAGATGCAGATCAGGTCTGTGTCCTGCGTGACATCTCGTCTTTTCAGTAATGGGGGAATCTCTCCATTTGGTTGTTGTTCTCTGCTCACAGTGGCTAACATGTGCTTCTTCTTCCCATGATGCTCTGTGCTGAATGCGTGCAAGCTACATTAACATAAAATGCGGGCAAGTGTTCCCTATGTGAAGTCTTTCACAGTAGGTGATGCAAACAGCTTCCTTTGGCTCATGGTATACAAACGTGTGCACAGTCCATGCGTTGTGTGTGTAGCAGATATAAAACCATAACTTTCCCCAACAGTACCGAACCTCACATTGGTGTAAGTAGTGGATGCCCAAACATACGTGCACACTACTGAGCAAAGTGTGGCTGAATATATCCTTTGGAGCATGACATATTTGCTCCTAGAGCAATGTTGTGATGGTAATAGTGAAACAATGTGTCTGAGCAAGGAAGCTTCATAACGTTCCCAGGAACTACTCAGAGAGTAGTTGTCAGTGGCATTTCATCTGAATGGAGGGAGGTGTCCAGTGGGGTGCCACAGGTCTCGGTTCTGGGCCCAGTACTTTTCAATCTTTTCCTAAATGTTCTGGATGAGGGTGTGTAGGGGCTACTCATTAAATTTGCAGATGATACCAAATTGGGAGGAGCAGTGAACACACCAGAAGATAGAGATAGAATTCAATGAGATCTGAACACATTGGAAAAATGGGTGGATGTGAACAGGATGCAGTTTAACAACAAGTGCCAAGTTCTACATCTGGGTAACAAAAATGAGGGACATGCATACTGGATGGGGGAATACACTTCTGGGTGGCAATGTGTGTGAACAAGATCTTGGGGTACAGGTGAACCATAAGTTAAATATGAACAGCCAGTGTGATGCAGTGACAAAAAAGGCTAATGCAATCATGGGGTGTATCAACAGAGGTATAACATCCAAATCGCAAGATGCTGTAGTCTCGTTGTACACTGCATTGGTCAGGCTGCACCTGTAGTATTGTGTGCAGCTCTGGAGGACTCACTTCAAAAAGGATGTGGACGGAATGGAGCAGGTGCAGATGAGAGTGACGAGGATAATTGGGGGCATGGAGACCAAACCCTGTGAGGAAAGGCTGAGGAATTTGGGAATGTTTCATCTGGAGAAGAGGAGGTTGAGGGGGGACATGATTGCTGTCTTTAAGTATTTGAAGGGCTGTCACTTAGAGGAGGAGGACGAGAAGAAGAAAGGAGGAGGAGGAAATTGGATTTATACCCCACCCTTCACTACCCAAAGGAGTCTCAGAGTGGCTTACAATCCCTTTCCCTTTCCCTTCCCCTCCCCACAACAGACATCCTGTGTGGTTGGTGGAGCTGAGAGAGCTGTCTCGAGAACTGCCCTTGAGAGAACAGCTCTGAAAGAACATATGACTGAGCCAAGGTCACCAGCAGCTGCATGTGGACAAGTGGGGAGTGGGGAATCAAACCTGATTCTCCTAGATTAGAGCCCATGCTCTTAACCACTACACCAAACTGGCAGGGAGTTGTTCCTGTTGGCAGAAGAGGATAGAACTCACAATAATGGGTTTAAATTAAGGGCAGGAAGGTACTGGCTGGATATTAGGAAAAATGTTTTTTACAGTAAGAGTTGTTCAGTGGTGTCACGAGGGGTCGGCTTGTAACAGTTCAGTGCCGGGAAGGTCGTCGGTCTGCCAAAGGGGAGCAGATCTTTTCTCCTTACCAGTTGAATCACTTGGCTTTCCTGCGCCTCCGTGTTGTTGTTTCTTGGGGGGGAGGGAGGGGGAACCACACTGGGCTCTCCTCTGTTTAAAAGCCTCCCTCCTGTTCCTGGGCAAGAGAAATCCTGGGAATCCCGTTCTGCTGGTGGGGCAGATGGACTTTGTTCCCCAAAGCTTGGGTGGGTGTAGTGCAAATAACTTATGTGAGGGTTGGAATACTCTTTCTCCACCCCATTACTCATTTAACAAAGATCATACCAGGGGAGTTCTCAAGAGCGATTAGAAAGGGATAGGTTATGCTGCAGTACTTGAACTACTTTAATCATTGAAACATAAGGCTGCAATTCGTTTTGTGGAGTAAGTCTCACTAAAATGGTAGAACTTATTCCTGTAGGGGCTGGCTAGAAGACAACCTGGTGTTGTCAGTGTTGTCCCTTTATCTCCCCCTTCCCTGGTATGTGGAATAGAAATTCAGTAAAAAAAACAACTGATGGCATGTGGCATGTGTTTGAAAGGCTTTGTATTTAAAAGACTTACTGTATTGGCCTAAATCCAGATGAGCAGCCGTGTTGGTCTAAAAAAGTGAAACAAAGTTTGAGTCTAGTGCATTTCTGGAGAACACGCAGCTCCAGTTGGTGCATGTTAACAACAACGGTGAAAACTTTGCCTCAAAGTTTGGTTGGCTTGTGGCTGTTGGCAGAGGATATCAAGGCCGTATGTGACCCTGTGGACCACTAAGGACTCCTTAGTGCTATTGCAGAGACGCAAGCCACAATGATACTGATTCCAGCTTCCACGGATCTAGTAAAAGCAGTCAGTTGCTAAAGCTCTGCTTTAGGATTGGCTTGCTCCAGAAATAAACACTTTTATGGAACCAGAAGTAAGTTTTCTAAAAGTTAAATTATTATAAAAACTAAATTATTATAAGTTTAAAATAACTATTTTCCATGCAGCTTCAGGTGGAGTTTTATTGATTATGGTTTATTCCAGGATATTATGAAGGAAATTAAGAATTTACAATGCTGAGCTGGATTTAAGAAGCTGACACCTTTAAATATTGGTATCATAGTCAGTATAAGAAATCAAATAGTTTATATATTTACAGAGGTTCAGCCTACAATAATGTCATGTCACTTTAAGAAACAAATGTTCAACATGCAGCTGCATGGTATTAACTAGTATAGTCTTTATAGTGTCTGGATCCAGTTAGTTGTAGAGAGCATTTGCCAGCTAGAAAATGAAGGCTTTAGC